ATCTAACACATAATTAGTGGCACACTGTTCACTAAAATTTGCCATTAAATGCTCGTCTTTTGCTTCCATAGCTCTACTAGAAATTCAGCTTTGGAGAAATAGTACGTTGAATATATAGTCAATTTTTTTCTGGGTGCATGTTTGATGAAACAATTAATGACACATAGAAATGAGCACTACGTTCATAAAATATTTCACATGGAAACATTAAAAAAATCAGAATAAGATGACATTTAATAGGTGTTCGGGTAGAAATATTTATGAGCACTCAAATATTTGGATCACTGTCACACCTCAGACTCATGACATTAAATTCAAGGCATCTCATTTGCCTTTTAACAAGCTCATTAGAATGCCTTGCTTGCCTGCAATACACACTGCTTTTAAGCTATAGATGCACTTTTCTATCCTGATAGAGATCTAGGGTAGCTGTGGAAAAGGACCAACATCCTAGTTAGTTTACTGCAACTATTGTGAATTATTTATGAAGTTACTTTAGCCTAAAAATATTTTTAAAGAAATGATTAATATATGGAAAGGCTGTAATTCTAAATAAAGAAATACATATAAAAAGGGCACTAACTAAACATGAGCTAGGATTCATAAAAAAGGGAACAATATAATAAGGACATGCATTGGCTTATGAATCTAGGCCCTCATTCTGCACAGGTTGTGCTACAGCAGATCCTCTTTTAACTACAGAATGGCAGAGCCCAGGCTTCTGAGAACTCTTTCATGCTGGCATGAAATTGAAGGTGGAAGCTTACAGCAAGAAAGTATTTTCTGTATCAAGGATCTTCCTGTAATTTTTAGCTATCCCATTCCCCTCTTTTTAATTAGATCATATTTAATTATGACTCTTTGAAAAGCAACTGAGATTTAGTCTGGTCTAATACAGATCTTTTAGGGAGAGTGATAATACAAATGTGTAAGAAATACACTTAGAATGACACAGACCTGATTTTCTGTGATAACTTGAATTCGTAATACAGTAAGATCCCATTTATTCAGACAAGTTCATACTGTGTTATGACATAGGCTAGGGACACTAACACATTAGAACCATTTTCCCCCACTATGTAAAGGTGTCTATATAGACTGGTCATAATGATTTGGGAAAATGTGAAATACAAGGTACAGATTTACCACTATAGCTCCCAGGACAGCACAGTGCTGCCATATCACATGATATGGCTGTAGCTGCAGAGCTGCACAGATCTTCATTCATTGGTAAGCACTGTGCTGAGTGAAGCTTTGTCCGTTCACCCACGGTGCTCACCCTGGCCGTGTGGCACACCACTGTGTAGCAGGGATTCTGGCTCCAGCAGCCTCAGACAACCCGTGCTAGGTTATGACACTCTTATTTATACCCAGGCCATAGGATGAAGTTGTGTCCTTGAAAAAGTAATGAGTTGGCTGAATTTCAAGCACAGATAAAACCCATTATTGCAGGGATTATTTTATGTGAATGGTGCCCTACAACAACCCTACTGTGTTAAGGGCTTGTGTAGATTCTTTAGTGTAATTGTGGCCCTCTTTGTCTTTATTCCATGGCAACTCTGCTGCATAGGATCATGCAGGGGAGGAAGCGTCATGAAGCCGTGTGCCTTCTAAAATCTTTGTCTATCAGGTTTGCCAACAGACAGGCATTTTCCTTTAATGTTCTATCACAGCCTTCCACCTGTGCCAGGACATTTTTGTGCCATACATATGCCTGGCAAGTGAGATCTGGAGGTGGCAGAGAGGCTGTAGACCAGTAGTGTGAACGTGTGGAGGCTGACACCCCCCCAGGCTCGTTAACTCATTGCTGAAACAGCTTGTGGGATGCAGGGTCAGAGGTTGCACAGGGTACCAGGAGTAACTGGGGAAATTATAAGGGTCTGGAACTACAGAGAACCCTAAGGGTTGAGGGATGAAGGTTCAAGAGGAGGTATTTTCACAAGAAATAAGGTTAACCATGACATCAAATATTAAGGAATTATGGTAACTCCTCCAACACATAAATGTTCTGAAAGAACACTTGGTGTTTAAAAAAAAATTATAGGACAGATTCGTAGGAGTCCCACAACCTGTGTTATGCAAGTAGTCAGCTTACATGAGCACAGTGCCCCTTCTGTCCCTTCTAGATATGGATCTGGGTATTTATGCAAACAAAATGGAATAACTGTGCATAATCCACTTAATTTCATTTTGTTTCATCAGCTGAGTTGCAGGTTTTTATTATAAGGATAAATCAATAAAAAACCTGGGCAGAATTTTAAGACTTTCTGTTATTTTTGTGTTAGAATGACTATACTGTCTGACAAAGAACACCAACCCTGACTTTTACCTTCACTGCAGCCCGCCCCAGACACACTAAGCAGCTTTAAAAAACCCTTTTGGTACACTAGATGTGTCCATAAAGGCAAGAGAGCTCTGAGAACTTCAAGCTGAGAAATCTAAGATGCTTGAGAAGCTCCATGAAAGCAAAGACCTTTTTCCCCATCAGATTTACAAGCCATACTGCCATTAGGGATTTTTGCTGAGTAAAGTGTGCCCATTGTTATATGGTGTCGTGTCTGCCATGGGACATCAGTGATGTCTAATGGAGGCCAAAGAGAAATAGATAGGAGGGTAGATTTGCCAACTGCTGCTGACCAGCTATAGCCTCTGATGGCAGGACTTAATTGAGAAATGGGAACTAAGGCAGTCAGAGGGAATGACCGCAAGAGCAAAGTGCACCTCTGTTTTTCTACCAGGCATTATCTTATGAGCAGTGAGAAGAGACCTGAATTTTTGTATTTTCTTTCCTCAACAGTGCTTTCAGCAGAAGAAAACCAACCTTTGTGAGTAAGGGAATGCATATGTATTGTTGAGGTGCACTGAACGGCATCATCAGTAGGGGAGAAATTTAATTCCGCTTGCAAATGCAGCAGTGACAATGCTCCAAAGTCACAATAGCAAAAATGCTAATCTTAGAACATTAGCAAAGTAATTGGTACATACTTAGGCCCTAGTCTTGCAAAAGCTTTTGTGCAAATGAACTCAGCAGGATGGCTTCCACACACCTGCTCTTAAGTTTAACAGTCTGCAGGACTGGGCCCTTACTGGATTTTGTAACTTTTTCAAAATGGGCAGGTGAAAACTTCCTAGTTACAATAAATCACCTTATACATTCTTTGCTTTACATAAGTAAACTGTGCATCCAAGTTTCTAGCTAGTGGGTGTTTTTCTCCCATAATAACAAATGCAGAGCTTTAAATATTCAACCATTTCTAGGATCATTCCTCCATCTCTTAAACAATGCACTTGGATTATAATTACCTAAAAAACTTGAAGGGATGGATTGAAGCTAAATAGTCCTCAGATCCACCAAAAATTGGCCGTTCTCCCTAATCAGCCTGTTTCCCTTAGTCCAACTCTCATCCAGATCCCAGATGGGCTCTTATGTTCCTCCCACACTTGTGTTCCTCACTTCTACAAGTGAGTCAGTCCAGCCCACCCCAGCAGGCAGCTGCACTGTCACCCAAAATCAGCTGTGCAGAGTGCTGCCACCAGCTTTTCTGCTTGACTCACAGCTCTGTTTGGGCTCCATCTCTAAAGGCCAAAACCAGCGAGGATGGAGTATTGCACAGTCAACAAGAGCTCTTCCAGCATGTCTGGTGCTCAAATCATGGCATATCCCTGGGGAGCACAGCTGACAGAAAAATGAGAGTGCGCTGAAGACGTCCTAAAACATTGTCCAACTCATTTTAATTTGTTAGCTAATTCCAATTCTCAGAAAAAGCAGAGAAATGATAACAGAGATTTTCAGTGTTACACTTTTAAAACCGATGTGGGGGTTTTCTCTCCTCCAACATGTGAAGCACCCCCCAGACAAAATTGTTCATGAGTACAGCAGCAATGTGCGTCAGTCCAATTAGTAAGTACACAACTGAATATAGAGGTAGTACTTCTGAAGTGTTAATGATTGAAGGGCAAGACAAAGTTTGTGGGCAATGGTGGGTGATGAACAAGCAAGCTTTCATGCACCCAGTATGTGTTCAGCATTACCACTACCGCCTGACTCTTCATAAATCGGGCAAGGAGTGCTAAAACCCTGATTTGCTGTGGGGCGCTGGACAACCTGCCTAACTCCTGCTTCGTTGTCTTTGCGTCAGAAGTGATACCACACACAGTAAAGTGCAATGGGATTACACTAGAAAAGGGACTCTCCAACCGTAAAATGCTGTTCAGGGATTTTATCCATATAACCTCCCCTACAATATGAGAAAAAATTAATAATAACAACAATAATTATCACCACACTTGTGCTTTCTGCATAGTCATTTCCTTCTCTTCTAATCCCAGCAGGCCGCATCAGCAGCAAAGCTGCATACTTATGAAAAATACATATGGTTATGAGGAATACAAAATCCCATCACTTGTTTGGGTGCTGTCCTCTGGCTTTTGGCAACATGATGCTGGAATGAGTATTATTCCATTCAGTGCAGGACTTTCAGGAAAGCCAAAGGCTGCACGCACAGCAACCTGAGATGTGTTAGACTGCAAAAGCCATGACTGGCTGTGGATTTTACTGTTATTCCCCAGCTGCTCAGGCCAGAAGATGTGCTCAGTGCTCCACTGGCCACAAGAAGGACAGTCCTCCCGTGCCCTAGCAGTGAGCGTATTTACTAACTCTCGCTTGCCCGAGTCGCTTCGGCTATGCAATGGGACTGCACACCGCAGGTGCAGGGATGGGCAGAGACAAAACCAGCTAGCCAGGGGCTCTGAGCTGCATGGCAGCACCGTTGTGGAGGTCAGTCTGCTCATCTAAGCGGGCGGGAGGGAACGACCCGCCCTGGAGGGCCCAGCAGGCGGGGCGTGTGTGCAGCCTGTGCCGGGTGACGGCCCCCCGCAGGGGGTTGCGGCTCGTATTGTTTCTCTGCCTCCCCCCGCCCCAGCCCCGCACTGAGCATGTGCGCAGCACCCCTTCCCCCGGCGTCTCCGCGGCAGTCGGGTCGCAGCCCCGCTGGCATGGAGTGACCTGCGGAGCCCCACGCCGCCCAGCCCGGCCATGGAGCTGAGGAGGTCCATCTCGGCCAGCGCGGAGGCCGAGAGACCGATGAGGCGCTACGGGGCAGTGGAGGAGACGGAGTGGAAGGCGGAGGCGCTGGGGAGAAGTGAGTGGGGGGCGCGGGTGCGGGTCCGGCTGGCCAAGGCAGCCTCAAGCGGTGGGGCGCGGCCGGCAGCGGCGCGGCGGTGCGGTCCTCCGGGCCCCGGGTCCGGCGACGAGCGCACGCCGGGGGCTCCTGTTAGCAGGGCGAAGCCACCTTGGGCTTCTCGGGGAGGAAGGTTTGTGTGACCGTTTTGCCCTCTGAGGCTGGTGCTTTCCGAGGGGGCCGTGTCGGAAACGGCCTTTCTCTGCAGAGAGACAGGGAAGCAAAGGGCTGGAGCCGTGCCGGTGCGGCTCGGGGCACTTCAGTGTTTCCTTGCGAAATGGGTTGCTCGCTCGCTCCGCAAAGTGGAGCGATGAGAGGGTGGCTGAGGCGGGATGACTGGGACGTTAGCTCTCCCTCGTTGTTTATTAGGTGGTATTTAATATATGGCTTTTCATAAATATCGGTAGTCTTCACATTTGAAAGGCACAGATGACAAACACGTTATTCCCTCTTGTTATCTCGGGCACAGGGTACAGGAATACAGCACTCAGTTCACTTCTTCAGTGGTTGCACTGTATTTATGAGCTCAACAAATGCTCTGTGGTGGAGGAGCTTTTCTTGAAATCATAATTTTCCAGAAAGGAGCAATTGATGTAGCCTTTCCAAAGTGCCTATGGAAAGAGTAGTTAAAAAGATATGTCGTTGCCAATTCAAGTTATCCATGGGACCTTGTCTTCTCTAAGATACCAGTTATTATTCTTTTATTGGCAGAACTATCTTCTATACAACCTAATAAGCCTCTAAACCCCTTCTAATTTTCGAGGTAACCTCTGAGGCAAGAAATCTTGAGAAGACTGTCACAAAAAGCTCTGTACTAGTATAAAGAAAAATATTTTCTAAGTTTCATCAAGTGTTTGATTAGGCCACGGGAAAAAAAGCTTTGTGTGTATCTGTTACGACACCTTTATCTTGGCTGATATTGGGGTTGCTGGTATTCTTGATTCACCATCCGTCTTTTGATGTGCATTGTGAAGTCTCACCTGGATGTCTTTTAACATGGCTTTGCAGCATCCTGGTAGCAGATCGTAGCCGGCATTTTTGCCATGTTTAGACTTTTCAGATAACTGCTGTGTTCTGGAATCATACTTCACCTCTGGCTTCAGTTTTTCATGCATATGTTATTGTCTACCATACGCTGATGACAGGGGTGTAACTCTCCCACTCTGATGCTCCATTTGCAGTGTTGGTTTTGTTGCGGTGCCTGGCATAGGTTCAGGACTGAGTTACTCCACGCTTTCTAAAATAGAATTGAAGACTGAAATCACTGTTGACTGAGTTGGTTGACTCAGACACATGCAACAGTTTTGCAGGTTCTCTGGCATGATACAAATGTGCTTTTCTTCTTCTCATAAATATGTCTGGTTTTGTTCCAGAGCTCAGGAGCTGAGTGCAGTGCAGCACTTGTAATAGTAATAATAATAATAATAACTGGTAGCTTGAGGTGACAGAAGGGTTACGTCTTGCAAGCTTTGGACAAAAGATCATCTGTTTGGCAGAGGGCAATGTGGAGGCTGAGTGGGAGACCCGATCTGCTCAAAAATATGTGCTCAGCATTGAGTTTCCACCCAAATCACAGCTTGACCAGGTACTGGAATGGGCTGTTGGCAGGACTAGAACCAAATGTCCAGGTGTCTGCACCCTGGCTCTGCTGCTGAGCTGTCCTTCTTCACACTAGATAGATTGAGTTTAATGAGACTATTTCTCTGTGTATAACAATTTAGATACAGAATAGAAAGTAATCTAGAGGCCATGGTCCATTCTTTTAAAAGTGGAAAATTATTATTCTAAGACTTTGCCATTTGAATAATTGATGTCTTGTTTGCTCATAGGCTTCAACTTCCTTAAAATACTGTGGAAAATGCTATTTATGGTAGTTGTTTTACATGATCCCTGCATATCTTTCCTATTTTAATACTAACAGTGACTTCTGGTCACACTTTTGCATTGATTAAAAATAAATAGATCTTACTATTTACTTTAATGCTCTTTTACAGCATAGGTCCTAAATTGCATGGCACGATGACAGTAGTCTCCAGAAGGTCTGGGAAGAAGCTGAAAAAGCATCATCCCCTTTCTTACTAATGTCAACAATTAGCCTTTGGTATTTGCATATTGTTTTAAAGATGAAATGCTAAGTAATGGTATTAACAAAAGCAGAAGCCTATTACTGCATATGCATTTGCCCTTTTTACTCTGACAATTTGTTGTGTCTTAAATCAGGATCTCTTTGGAGGTAGAGCTTGTGTATCTGTACAACACTGCACGATGGAGTGCCATTTCCTGGTCAGTGCCTTTTGATGTGAGTGTAGTCGTATCAGAAGAGGATGTACATCCTGATGATGTCCATTACAGAAAGAATGTCATGGAAGTTAGGTAGTTTCTATGTAATTTGTTAAATGGAAAGGGAGCTCTGTGCTAACTTCTCTATCTGTGGTACAGAAAGCATTGCTGGTTATTGGTTATAACCAAAGATGAGTTACTTCATAGCAATGAAATGTAACGCCATGCACATTTCTATTCTACAATGGCCTCTTTCAGCCAGATTATCAATGGAGTTAAGCTGGTTCACAGTAGCTGAGGATCTGATGCCCTACAACCTGAGGGTGTAATGATCTCCAGTGGGTTTGCATGCAAAATACGAAGCAGATTGTTTGAAGGTGTGTCTTTAACAAGACACTGAAGCCTTTCTCTTCATATACAGGAGGGAATTTCCAAGGAGTAGAGAACATTAAAAATGACAGTTTACCATGTACAGAGCAACTCATGCATTTTCTAGTGCATGCATGTAAAGCACAGTCAGGCTTATATATTGTCAGGCTTGTATAATAATAATGTGGTTACAGCCTTCTCAGTAAGTGATCTTTACAATATAGTCTTGGGGAGTCTGCTCTGAAGCAGAGCACTCAAGCGTTTTGGTCAGTCCTCATTACCAAGTGCACAGCTTCATTTAGAATCATCTGTCTTGCCATCAGCAGGGACCCATAATGCCCTGATTAAATAACTGCACACCACACCAGGGAAAAAGCCACGAAGAAACAAAGCAGTTTTTCACCATCCTTCTGAACATAGCACTTCTCAGATACATTTCTGCTGATCTTTTCCTTCCTCTTTCAGTTTGTATGAGGTCTGGAACTAAATGCAAAACTCAAGGTGAATGCCCCAGCTTCAGTCAGTATAAGGAAGCAGATATGCCAGAAAACTGCAAAGGTTATGTTTTGATGCAATTTAGCGCGCCATGAAATTTGCTAATTGTTTTCATTTGGATGCTAACTCAGCATTGGAGGTAAGCTGCCACAGTCCTATATTGCAGAGGTCCACCTTTTCAACTGTTTTTGAATATGAAGTGGAGATTAGGGGAAAGGGGCCCTATTACAGGCCAGCACTGAAGAGGAAGCTGGAGATTTCCAACACGAGACTCAGTAGTAGCGTGAAGCTTTCGTAGCCAGCTTTACTTGCTCTCCCTTCATGCTGTGAATGTAGTATCATAGATTATGTCCAGGCAAGGTACTGTGAGATGGCAGTGCACTCCAGAACAGCACCAGTGGGGCGATTTTATCTAGTTCTGAGATTGCTCTGATTTGTTCCAACAGCAGAAAGATAGTACTGTTCCCGGGTTCACAAGAGATCCTGGGCTGACACATGTGAAAGCTTATTTCACCATATTCAGTTAGTTTATCTTGAAAACCTTTCTAAGCTTGTTAGCCAGAAAGAGACTTTTGTATGTATTTATATGCTCCTCTGCTGAGCGCTGAGAGTGGTTCAAACACTGAAAATATGCACTATTTAATATTTTGCATGTGCATTTCTTGACAGCATGGGAACGTGGATGGCTTACATCTATCTGGGGCATTTTTGGTTCAAGACCAGTTTGTTTTAGAAGTGCTATTATGGATGGTCTTTCAGCTTGCAGAAGCTTGAAAAGCTAAAAAGAAAACGACCACAGATTGCAATAACATGGATAGTGATCCTGTAGCCAGATCGTCTTTTCTCTTTGATGAACAAAGAGTGAAGAAAAGGCATTTATACCCTGGTTATGGGCACTTGCTTTGTCTAATCTACTGGGAACTGCTTGTGTCACCTTTAAGGCCTGATTTCATTAACAGAACAGAATGGCTGCATCTTAGAACAGGATCTAGTTCGTGATGTTTTAATGTTGCTTAATAACATTTTATAATAATTTGAAAAAATTTCCATTGCAATATTAAAAAAATCAATCAAGTAGCAACAGAGAAACACATTTGTCTTGCACAGCAAAGCCTGCACAGCTAGTGTCCTGTCACATTTATCTGTCATTCTGGTCACCGACGAGTAGTTAGGATGGATTTGTATTAATCATATGCCTCTATGTATTAGTCAAAAAGTAGGTAAATGCCAATTTGTTCTTGAATTTTTGTGTCAGCTTTATAAAATGTGGAGGTTTAATAGCTCCCTATATATCTAGTACAGACAGACTGGATAGTATGTTGGTTCCTGTGAGACATCAGTGCACTCCTATGTATTCATGGTGGATTGGTCCCAAGTGACTGTAGAAAAGCAAACTTATTTAGACTCTAACAAAGGTGGATGCAGCCCTGGTACTTGGTGGGGGGTACAGCTGAATGTCCTCATTCTTCTTCCTCCTGTATTGCTCATGAGAGTGAAAAGTGACTTGTGTTGTCTCACAAGACAGGGGAGGAAATGTGATTAGAAAGTTGCAATGGTGCTCAGGGCTGCCAAGTCAGAAACTACAGAGTAATGCTGGGAATTCAGGAGTTCTCAGCATGAGGGGAGACTCATGAGTTGGGACTGACAAGGGGCTGAGTTTACTCCGCACCACCCACAGTTAAATTCAAACCTGCGTCAATTATAGCTGTTTCTATCATCTGGTAGTTAAATATTCAAACGCACACCGTTGGGCCTTCTTCCATAAACCCCACATATTGCACAGACATCCACAAACCCACTTCAGTGCTTTGCATAAA